TTTCTTTGTATGTTTTGAATTCTTCAGTTAAAAACTGGGAATGTAAAAAATAGACACTTCTCCCAATCTTTGTGAACTGGTTTGGAAGGCTTTCACTAATTCGTGGGCCCCTGAGTTTTGGGATCAACTTGGAATGAAAGTTTAAGGTATACTCAGGTATTTTCTGAGAATGTATCCCTTGTGGGTTTTCATGTGTGCCTTTTATCCCATTTTTCTCATGTACATAACTGCTTATACATCTTAATTTCCTAGAGAGTCTTACTCCGAGTTCTTTTCCAGCTTCGGATGTTTTATTATGTCCCTCTGTTCATAATTTCTGGCCCCCAGACATACACAGCTCTGCTTTCTCTCTGTGGTTTCTATGATGCCTGTCGCTGTCTTCTGGCTTCCACTAGCCAGAGATCAGAGATCCAAATCCTGTGAGTTCTGAGCCAGGCAGGCTAGAAACCAATTCCACTGGGAGCCCACAAACAGGTCAGAATGCAAATATTTTCTACTCTGCTTCTTTTGACTCGAGAAATGAAACTGAAAATTTACTTACTCTTAACTTCCCACACCTTACTGAGCAGGGCATAGAGCAACGGCAAATTAAAGTGCCACGATTGTGGCTTTTTATGACTGCATATTTGCTTGGTTGCTGTAGATACTTGATAGTTAACAGAGCTCATATAGAGTTGTTGATGTTTGTTTGTTCGTTTTTTAGTTTATATCAAGGAACAAGGGCCTGAAGTTTCCTTGTTAACTTTTTTTTTTTTTGGAGAGATTTTCACTGTAGGGCGCGTGCACTCGCCAGACAGACAGAGAGAGACATAGAGACAGAAAGCGAGAAATCACCCCCCAGGGGGGATGGTCATGTCGCAATCCCTTCTCCTCCATTCTCCTCTCGGGATCTTGGGCACGCACGCACACGCGCCCGGCGTGAGTTTTAAGCCACCAGGTCCGGGACACGAACCGCGGTCGACTACGTGGGAGTCCAGCGACATAGCCATTATGCTAACTGCTGGTTCCCTCCTTGTTAACTTTTTGATGTCACTCCTTAAAAAAAAGATGCAAGTCGGGACCTGCAGTTGGCGTAATGGCTATGTCGCTGGACTCTCATGTAGTCGACCGAGGTTCAAGTCCCAGACCTGGTGGCTTAAACTCACGCCAGGCGCATGTGCGTGTGTGCCCAAGATCCCGAGAGGAGAAAGGAGGAGAAGGGATTGCG